ACCTATTTATCTACTTGCACTTTGACGTGCTTTCGAACTGCTAGGCTGGCAGGAGCTGGGACCGAGCAACGGGAGCTCACCCCGTCATGGGGATTCGAACCGCCGACCTTCTGATTAGCAAGTCCTAGGCTCTGTGGTTTAACCCACAGCGCCACCCGCGTCCCATTGCACCAATGCCTACCTTTGAGCTATTATATTGCTTTATTGTGTACACAGTCACAATGGCTGTGCTTGCACATCGCAGTAAACCACAGTTAATTGTTTTCCTTGAACATGGAGATTACTCCAGCTTCACTCCCCGCATAACAGGAGCAGCAGCAACAAACCACGATTTCTGGCTTAGCAAGACATCTGAACCAGAGATCATGATTTGCTTTACTCCAAACTTTAGTTTGCTGCTCCCACCTGCATTTGGAGAGCAGTGAAATTGGAGCCAACTGTTCATTCAGCTGTGATTTACCATGACATCCAAACACAGCCAATGTTTGTTAACCCCAGAGGTATACCATCAGAGACATAACAGTGTTATGATATGCAAACAAATTGGTTACGTAGGCTCTCAATCTTTATAAATTTTAACTTAATTTAAACTTCTAGGAAGTCCTTTGCCTACAGAAATTTACTTCCTTTACAGTCTTCCTGTCTATATTTTCAAGACAAAGTATCATTTGAGAACTTCATTCACAAATCCCTTGCAAACTCATAAAGAGCTAAGGAGCTTAGCTCCATATGCCCTGCTTAGGAAATTGTTGGGTTGCTTAATTTAGACACAAACCCCAAAGGGTCTATTGTTAGGAAACATACCAAAATATTGTTTCACTCGGAGCTTAAAAATAATGCTTCAGAGACAGATGAAATGAGAGGTGTAAAGATATTTCGGGCCTCACCAAGGGACTTGTGTTTATCCAAAATCTGAAAATTGCTGTTGGAATATATTAATCTTCTCTCAGCGATGACTGCTCAATATCCATTGTCAACCATAGCCCAAACACTGGGCTGGGGGACAGTGAGAGACACTTCACTCAGTGGGACATACTTTGTAGCTCATAAGGGTGTTTGTGCAAACTTGTTTTCCTCTACCTAGGTAGAATCTACATGCACACAAAAACACTGTCAAAATGCTTTTTGGGGAAAAAAATGTTTTGAAAAATACATTGAATTTGGCATATCTCACTATCGCCATCTAGTGTCACATTTGTATATTGCACTTTACAACACATTTAAAACATTTTATTTGCAGCTGTATAGTTGGGTCCATACTCATCTGCCCTAGCCAACACAGCCATTGGGTTAGGGACTGTAGAAGTTGTAGCCCAACAGCGTCTAAAGACACTGCTTCGTCTGTGTCTGATCTAGGAGCTGCAGTTTGAGATAAACTGAGAAACACATACCCTACGTCAAATCAGGGTGTCCCCTAAGCGTTTTCCATTGGAGGAGTGGTATGGCCCTGGTCCCCATCCGGGCATCAGATATGAGCCACTCCTCATGGATCCTAATCCATGGAGGGGGAGGGGGAGGCTGCAAACTCCTCTGCAACCAAAACTAGGCTAACCCAATGCCTATCCACCTTACAGAGTTGTGACAATTGCTATGAGGTAGGCAAAAACCCAAATGGCAGTGCCAGTTTACCAGAATGGAAAAATTCCTGCCCGGCCCTGAAAATAGGTGACCGACATTGTCCATAGCAAAGTTGTATCCTCTGTAAAAAAACAAACAAACAAACAAAACAAAAAAGCAACACAACCCTAATCTGTGGGAGGGAGGGTGGGTGGGAGAACCGGCACAGCAAGAGAGAGGCTGAAAGGCCCCACAGGCTGGGAAGTTACATTTCCCCTGGGCACGGCTCCAAGGGTCGCAGTTGGTCTGTTGATCCCACTGCCATTGGCTGATTTGGCGGCAGGAAGATGATCTGGCCTGCAATAGGCCGGTTCCTGAGGGAAGGCCTGGGGCCCAACCGCAAAGCCACCCACCCAAGAAGGGGTGTGAGATCCTGTGCATCATGTCTACTCAAAAGGCACATGTTTCTTTGAGTTAAGTGAGGCTTACTTCCAGGAAAGGTACCAGGAGCTGTGGCAAGCAGTGCTGCTGCTAGGATTTCCAGGGCTCCAAACATATGTGAGGGCTTATCTACACTTACTTTTTGCCCCACTCTTTCCAGGGAAAGGTCTGTGCTTTAATGCTCTGTCCAAGCATTTTTAAATTTTATTTTTATTAGCCCCGAGCTGAATCAGAGCAGGTTGCCATTTGCACCGACTGAGCTTTAAAGAGTGGGTTTTTCATGGGGAAGGCTTCAGAGCAAAGTAAAAGGTGCTCGGAGGCAGATCTCTAAATTGTGGGCCATGCCTGGGAAAAGTGGAGGAAAGACAAGTATGGATAAGCTCTGCACAGAAAGATCACCATGCGATTTCAGAGACAGAGAACAGCATCTAAAGGGCATTTGTCACTCATGTATGTAGGTTCCAGATTGCCATGAATATAAATCAGGCAGCCAGAAGTATAGGAGCTTAAACAGAGTGAGTTAGAAGAAGCAGACTCACCGATTCTTCAGCCCCCATCCCAAAATAGTCAAGGTTTTAAAATTTATGTTTCTGTGGAGGACAGAGAAGGCTTTGTTACTGGAAGCGCACAGGAGCCATCAAAACCATTTCTGTCTTGGAATCTGCTTTGAAACGTGGACTGCAATGGATCCAAGAAACTAGCTTCTTCCAGGAAATGGCTAAAGCTGACCATTTTGATCACTTTCCCCAAGAACAATCAAGTGATGTTTCCTTGAATAGCCTGGGCCCAGCATTGGATTTTTCAGTCGTGGAAGAACAGATCAGAGGGCTGGGAGGCCATGGCCTGCTATGTGTTGCTGCACTCCAATGGTCAGGAAGTATGGGAGATGGAGACTGACAACATCCAGCAGAACATCTAGCAGACCACAGGTTCCCCATCTCTGCTCTAGGTAGCTCATCATCACAATTCTGCCTTAGGGGGCTTTTGGTGAAATGGAGGATCCCATTAAGGCCATACATCCCAGAAGCCATACATCTTCAGCTAGTGTTGGCCGCTTCCTTTTCCAGCACAAAGGAAAGGACCGCTTCTCTTCACATTCTCTAAGAAGCTGTACCCACCTGTCCCAAGGAAGTGAGTGGTGGTTAGAGGTGACAAAGGTCAGCCATACCAGGCCTGAGTTTAGGGAGAACGTGGCTTGGATCAGTGACTACAAGAAAAAGAATGAGGAGATGTTTGTGTGAGAAGGCCAAGGACAATGCATCTTCATTAATTGTAATGACAGGATAGGTTAATGAAGTTATTAATCACCTGGCTCTAAATTAAGGTGCCATTATTTATTCCCTTAATCAGTGTCAGCGTCAAGCAGCCATTAAGGTTTATGTGAAGTTTGTAATTGTAAGCTATGGGAAACGTGTGTTTGACAACCATTTCATCAACATGCACAGTGATGTATGAAGACCAACTTGTATCCCGGAGCTTTATTAAATTCAACATGAGAGTGTTCCTAGCCTGACTCCTTTATTTCCCAGCTGTCTCATATGACAATAATAATTCTTCATACAAGAAATCTGGAACTGTAGCATCAATGGCCACACACACCACGATTCCAATTCTATTTGTGTGGGATATACAGCTATATCTGTCAGTATGTATAGCTATAAACCAAGCATGCAATCAATGGTCACAACACAATAGTACCCAGTCTCCAAATTCTGAAAGGAGCAGCAGTAACCTTCAGAATGTGAACAGAAGGCTTCCAGACATGGAGTGCAAATTATTTTCTGTTTATCAGATATTTTATACTGTTAGAATGCTGTTTAGTGGAAGTCCACAAAGGTTCTCAAGTTTCCATTGTTAACTATACATTTAAAGCACTACAAAACCACTTGTAGCTTCCCACAAAGGATTGTGGGAACTGCAGTGTGTTAAGGGTGTTGAGCAATGCTTTTTTCTTAAAAAAAAATAATTATGTTTAGGGGTACTCTCATTTTCCTACTCATATTGAAATACTGCCCCTCAACGAGGCCAAACCTAGATTCACAAAATGTTTAGGGGTATGCATACCCCTGCGTCTCCTCAGGAAAAAAAAGCACTGGTGCTGAGAGTTGTGAGGAGACATTTATTCCCCTCACACAGTGATAATTTGCATGAGTTTTCTCGGAAGAGGGATTTATAATTAAACCACTTTGAGAATTGCCACTGTGTAAGGGGAATAGGAGATCTCCTACCAACTGTCAGCACCCTTAACAAACTATAGTTCCCCTAATTTTCTGTAGGGAAACCATGACTGCTTAAAATGGTATGTTACTTCTTTAAATAATATAGTGTAGGTGGGACCTATGACAACACTACGAATTCTTTCTCCCCATCTAATTCCCTTCCTTTCTTCCTCACTCTTGCCCATGCTCTGGCTCAAAATAAGGACCGTATTTTTCGCTCCATAAGACACACTTTTTTCCTCTTAAAAAGTAAGGGGAAATGTGAGTGTGTCTTATGGAGCGAATGGCACCGTGCAGAGAGGGAGAGCTGTGTAGCGCCCATTCAGCAAAGCGCCTCTCCCACGAAGCAGGAGGAGGAATGGAGCCTCTCCCCAGAGAGGGAGAGCTGCGCGGCGCCCCTTGAGCGAAGCACGTCTTCTGGCTTCTGCCTTAGCCGCGAGCAGCCTCTTCCGGGCAGGGGGAGCCTTCATCCTGCTGCCCTGAAGAGGCTTCATGCGGCTATCCCAGAAACTAGAACAGCCAGAGGCTATCGCAGAAGCCAGATCCCTCTTGCTGTTCTGGCTTCTGGGATTCAGATTTTTTTTTTCTTGTTTTCCTCCTCCAAAAACTAGGTGTGCCTTATGGTCTGGTGAGTCTTATAGAGCGAAAAATGCGGTGAATAAATAAAATTCTTATCCCAGGCATGGGGAACCTGTGTACCTCCAGATTATCACAGAATCATAGAGTTGGAATGGATCCTGAGGCTCATTGAGTCCCGCCCCCTGCAATTCAGGAATATTCAGCTGTCCCATATGGGGATTGAACCTGCAACACTGGCATTATCGGCACCATGCTCTTACCAACTGAGCTATCTCAGGTGTTGAAGAGTTGAAGTCCAGCAACATCTGGAGAGCCACAGTTCCACCACCACCACTTTAGCTGTGTTCCTTCTTATCTTCCACAACATTTGACTTCAGAAGCAGAAATTGTTATGTACTGAAGTTCTCACCCTGGGCCAGCAGGGGGATACTGTAGATAGTTTTCACTCAGGTCCACATATGCAAATAAGGGATCAAAAGTGACGTTCAGTGATTGGATAGGTACAGAAAGTTGTTACAGTTACGTTGTACTGGAGCTCTATATAAGCAGGTTGGCTGCACCCTTCAGTTCAGTTCTGTTCTGAGCTGTGAATAAACAAGAGCTGTTTGAAGAATCGCTGTGTTGGCTGATATGTTCAACCACAACTTAACAGAAATCATTCTCTAATCTGACACCTCTCTGACACAGGGTTCTGTCTTGGGCCCGGTCTTATTCAACATCTTTATCAACGACTTGGATGATGGACTCAAGGGCATCCTGATCAAATTTGAAGATGACACCAAACTGGGAGGGGTGGCTAACACCCCAGAGGACAGGATCACACTTCAAAACGACCTTGACAGATTAGAGAACTGGGCCAAAACAAACAAGATGAATTTTAACAGGGAGAAATGTAAAGTATTGCACTTGGGCAAAAAAATGAGAGGCACAAGTACAAGATGGGTGACACCTGGCTTGAGAGCAGTACATGTGAAAAGGATCTAGGAGTCTTGGTTGACCACAAACTTGACATGAGCCAACAGTGTGACGCGACAGCTAAAAAGCCAATGCAATTCTGGGCTGCATCAATAGGAGTATAGCATCTAGATCAAGGGAAGTAATAGTGCCACTGTATTCTGCTCTGGTCAGACCTCACCTGGAGTACTGTGTCCAGTTCTGGGCACCACAGTTCAAGAAGGACACTGACAAACTGGAAAGTGTCCAGAGGAGGGCAACCAAAATGGTCAAAGGCCTGGAAACGATGCCTTATGAGGAACGGCCAAGGAGCTGGGCATGTTTAGCCTGGAGAAGAGGAGGTTAAGGGGTGATATGATAGCCATGTTCAAATATATAAAAGGATGTCACATAGAGGAGGGAGAAAGGTTGTTTTCTGCTGCTCCAGGGAAGCAGACACGGAGCAATGGATCCAAACTACAAGAAAGAAGATTCCACCTAAACATTAGGAAGAACTTCCTGACAGTAAGAGCTGTTCGACAGTGGAATTTGTTGCCAAGGAGTGTGGTGGAGTCTCCTTCTTTGGAGGTCTTTAAGCAGACACTTGACAACCATATGTCAGGAGTGCTCTGATGGTGTTTCCTGCTTGGCAGGGGGTTGGACTCGATGGCCCTTGTGGTCTCTTCCAACTCTATGATTCTATGATTCTACCTCCAAACCTCCTTAACCACATTCAAATATTTGTTCGTGTCATGAGGGAGTCTTTTAAAAGCAAAACTCTGCAACATCCTAAGACTTTTACACGTATTTTTCTAATGGACCATGATCAGGAATTATGAAATCCTTGTGTTACAAAACACGTGTGTTATGCAACCAGACTTTGGTTGTCCAAATGCCAACGTATTCCCTGTGAAGACATGATGATAATCCATTAGAATGTCTTAGAGAGTGAAGCTGTAAGTTATTGTATTAAGTTATACTAAGCTTTCTTCAAATGCGTTATAATGAAGGGCATGGTATAAATATCCCAAATATCCTTGGGATCTGCACACTGCCACTTTCAGTTCATCGCTGGGTTTCACTGGCAGTATAATTTCAAGCCTGGTTTCCAACTGATATTAAGTAAATGGAATGTGTTTTGTCGCTTTCTAAGAAAGAAAAGGAAAGGGGGAAAAAATCAATGTTAAACAAGTTGCAAATATGCTCGGGGGATGCAGGGATGAGGAGGAGGGATTTTGACATCATAACCTCTAGCTTGTCAGAGCTGTGCACCACTGACTTCGGCTACAAATTGATTTTAATCCGCTTTCTCTGAATTCCTCCCTAGAGAAGAATAGGTACACTTGATAAATACCTAGTGAGTTTGCTTCCAGAGTCTCTTTCCCTTACATCTGCAAGCAGCCTTTAGAACAAACGAGAGCAAGGGAGCAAAATGACACATTTAATTACATGCTTGGTTTGTAGATATACATATAGATAGATATAGCTATATATCCCACACAAATAGTAATGGGGGGAGTTAATAGAATTGTGTGTGTGTGTGTGTGTGTGTGTGTGTGTGTGTAGAGAGAGAGAGAAAGAAAGAAACAGAGACACAGAAAGAGAGAGAGTCCAATCCATAGGTCTAATGGACAACAGACACATACACCAAAACTGATATTTACCCCAGAAGATAAATTCCTATTGGTGCTAATAAAACAGAAATGCAATTTTTGCCACAAAAAAAATTTTGCCACAAAATTTTTTTTGTGGGGAGAAAGCATTGAATGCTAACCCCATCACAGTCCAGGTCTAAATCAGCCTCCATGTAGCTCTATGGATTTGTTTGTTTTTCAAAGTCATGATTGCAAACCATATATCTTCTATATCATATCATCATATCATATCATATCATATCATATCATATCATATCATATCATATCATATATTATATTAATTATGTTATATTTGTATCCAAGGAGCTCAAGGTTCTGCCTTGATCATTTAATCCCAGGCAGAGGGCCTTCTTGTTAGTGGTGCCCACCCTGTGGAATGCCCTCCCATCAGATGTCAAAGGAAATAAACAACTACCTGACTTTTAGAAAACATCTGAAGGCAGCCCTGTTTAGGGAAGTTTTTAATGTTTGATGTTTTATCATGTTTTTAATTTTATCGTGTTTTTAATATTCTACTGGGAGCCACCCAGAGTGACTTGGGAAACCCAGTCAGATAGGCAAGCTATAAATAATACATTCTTCTTCTTCTTATTCTTATTATTATAATCATCATCATCATCATCATCATCATCTCCACAATGACCCCGTGAGGCAGGGTAGTCTGAGAGGCAGCGACTGGCCCGAGGTGACCCAGTGAGCTCCATAGCTGAGTGGGGATTCAAACCCTGGTCTCCTACTTCATAGACCAACACTAAAACCATTACACCACACCGGCTCTCGCAGTTTGGCCTTATGGTTGTATCAAGGAAGGAAGATTTATACAGTCAGAAACCAGAGTATGATTGTATCAAGGGGATGAATTTTGCATCTGGTCCCAAATCCAAGGTTTCTTGACAATGGATGTAGTGATATTGAACCTTTGCAAAGGTAAAAGTTAAGGGTTGTTGCTTTTTATAGCTATTTCTGCCTGGCTCTGGGAAAGAGAGTCAAGAGACCAATGCAAATCTGTTTAGGAAAAGAAACTGCGCTTGTCTTTGGTGCCAGGAAGGCATTGCTTTTTTGTTGTTGTTTCTTTCTGCACTTTATTTAACCTTCTTCATGAGATAAACTCATGACTGGTATCACGGTCTGCCCATAGTTTCTCTTAATACCTGAAGGAATTCTAGCCTTCTAATCTAACCAACCACATGACTAAAAGGATCTGGAAATGCTCCGACTTTTACCATGAATGCACAACACTTTGTTGTCGATCGCCATATGTCAAGCGAGGAAAGAATGAGGGAAGATTTTCAAAGGCTGGAAGAGAAAAGCCCGAAAGCCTCAAAGAGAGTGAGAGCAGCTTCAGGACAGTAAGAGATAGCACTTCGCACTGTGTGTTGCATAATCAGTGTGTGGAATGCCTTGCCACAAGATGTAGAAAATGGAGATGGGGAAGGACTTTGCTTGGCAAGGAAAATTCCCCAGGTGCAATCAGAGGCATCTCCGGGGAATGGGTCAGAACACAGGGATTTATTCAGATTAGCTGAATCACAGTGGCATTGTGCAGCTGCATTCCAAAAAATAAAAAAATAAAAATAAAAATTATAAAAATATAAAAATAGAAATAATAGAAATAAAAATAACTAGTAAATATACCACTATAACAACCCCTGCAAGTGTCCCTATTTTCCAGGGATTTACAGAAGCCGTCCCAGTTTCTGATTTGATCCTGGAATGTCCTACTTTTCCTTAGGACGTCCCTATTTTCATTTGAGGAATGTTGGAGGGTGTGGAGTGATGTGACACCCCCCCCAAGCCAAGGAGATAAGTGACTTTACAACCTTTAGAAGACATCTGAAGACAGCTGTGTACAGGGAACTTTATAATGTTTAATGTTTTATAATGTTTTTCTATATGTTGAAAGCCGCCCAGAGTGGCTGGGGAACCCAGTCAGATGGGTGGGATATAAATTTATTCTTATTTGTTTGTTTGTTTGTTTGTTTTTACCCCGCCCTGTTTAGACTTCCCCAGCCACTCTGGGCAGCTCCAAACAAAATTAAAAGCCGAATAAAAGATCAAACATTAAAAATCTCCCTAAACCAGGCTACCTTCAGATGTCTTCTAAAAGTCCGATAGTTGTTTATTTCCTTGACATCTGATGGGAGGGCGTTCCACAGGGCAGGCACCACTACCAAGAAGGCCCTGTGCCTGGTTCCCTGCAACTTCACTTCTCGCAGGGAGGGAACCGCCAGAAGGCCCTCGGAGCTGGACATCATAAAATTATGATGATTATGGAATATGATGAGTGGGATATAAATGCTAGCAATTCTTCTTCTTCTTCTTCTTGAATAGAATGTCCCTATTTTCATGAAAAAAATGTTGAAGGGTATGGGTATAGGTAAAAGCCCATAGTTAATGTGGGGGGTTTTAGGATTTGGTGGCATGCAATCACCCAACACTGCCATTATGCAGCTTCTATTCTGGAAAAATGTACTTTTAAAATGTTCTTTCTTTTAGCACACGCAAAAAATTAAAATAAAATACACAGCCACTGAGCTTAGTTTGGCACCCTGCTCAGCTCGGTGCCCAGGGTAACCACCCAGCTCTCCCAGCCCTTAAGGCCAGCCCTGGTTTTGTGGTCCAGCAGAGGACCTAGTGATGTTCTTGTAGAGCAATGTTCTACAAGCATGCCTCTGGAGACCAGTTGC